TGAATTATAAAAAGTAATATGCATATAAAGTAATAATGTATATATATATATGTGTGTGTGTGTATATATATATATATATATATATATATATATTTTTATATATATGAATTATAAAGTAGTAATATGCATATAAAGTAATAATATATATATATATATATATATATATATATATACATACATACAGGAAACGAAGCTGTATCCTATACGGAATCGTTATATAGCCTGGCGTGCTTTTACCGGCTATATGACGGTTCCGTATAGGATACAAGTTCGATTCCTGTCGGAGGACGCTTATTTTCTATGAAAATTTTTCGGACATTCAGGCCGGTAAATGTTTAATATGGTTTATTATAAAGAGAGCATTTACTTAAATATTTGTCTCTATAAAAAAGAATGTATACACATAAATATCTTTTAAAATGTATGTATCTATGTATGTATGTATGTATGTATAAGCGGGCATTAAGATTAATCCCAAGCGGCGACAGTGTTTCATGCAATCTTCACCCACAGTGCATTATGGTTACTAAGGTCTGTTGTATTATCCTAACTGTTATTTGGTGGGTACGTAATAGTTATGTTTCAAATTATTCTAGAGTCTATTGACTCCGAAGACTTGCGATCCGAATTCGGTTATTTGTAGCTATTTTATAATGTTCTTTGTTAACTTTATACTGTTTATATATTATTGATTTCTTAATTATATATTCTTGTTTGCTATTATTATATTTACTTGTATTTACGCGAAAATTGGTAGTTTGTTAATTTGTTTATTATTTACATAATTTCATTCTTAATTTAGATTTTTTGTCTATTTTTTTTCGGGGGTTGCTTCTCTTATTTGATTAGTTTAAAGAATTGGCTTTGTCTAACAAATACTACACTACTTGCGTCGTATATCAGTCAGTTATCTTGATTTTCTAAGCGTAGCTTAGATGTGGTATAAGACCGAAAGTATGGGCATCCAGTAAGGATTGAACTCACTACTCACTTTGTAATTGTTCTAGCGAGACAAACTTGCTAACCATTACACCACGATGGGGTGCCCCAATCAGTTATGTGCCATGCGTGATACACGCTTGGTATTTACTAGTTCCCCTACTAGAACAAGATGTGACACAAGGTCAGTTTAATGTGGGGACCCGAGCGCGTGCACCCGGGTAGGGACAAAAATTCCCCTCAGCCCCCTCAACCGTCGGTTGTGCTGGCCTCTGTGTGAGCACCGATCCCTCCCTCTTGTGCAATGGGAGGGCGCGGCCTCGGGCAGCTGTTCCCCAGGGCTGGGCACCTCTTCAGTATAATTTTCCTCAGTTGCCCCTCTGTCCTTTGACAGAGAAGCCCCTGAGCGCACTCTGTCTAAGGACAGAGACCTAACTGAGAGATGATAGGAAAATGCGAAATTACCCCAAAAGAGTAATTTACGCTTAGGCGATCATGTATCTTTCGATACATGACTGAAGAAGCAGATTTTTTTCCCGGGGGTAGACCAGTTGCCATCCAAGGCTACAAAACTCGGTTTGTTCTGCCATTTAACCATAGGTGGGGGTGGGGAGAGAAGAAGGGTATTAACATGTAAGTGAATGTAATGGATTCGACTGAAATTTGAACACGGCTCTCTGATTCCTCAATCCATTACTCCACCTTATATTGCACGTGCTTGCATTTTTCATAGTGATATTTTACAAGGTGTTTGTTTTTAGCGTTTATGTTTTAAGTAGTTAATTGGTTTTCAGGTTTATTGTCCCCACTCTTCTCATGGAATGTATAAAATAAGAACAAGTTGAGGAATTCAGTACAGTTTCCTGATAGATGAAGAGAAGACTTGAGGAAACAGGAATGGCGTTCTAGAGAAGCATGCTGAGAATGATACTTGAATGTAGAATCTGAAAGAGTTGAAATGTTATGAAATGTTTTGAAAGGATAATGAGGAAGGAGGGCTTGGAGAATTTGATATTCACAGAAGATATAGATGCAAATAGGGTAGTAAAGATGGGGATTAAAGGCGACAAACATTACTTAAGGCTGCTGAAGATTAGAAGTTGTAGGCATGGTACGTAAAAGAAAATTGGAGGCTTGTACAGTTTTATTCACGCGTGGAGTGAACTTTCATGGCTTTAAATCACAAGTCGATTTCCTGGTGTTTCATTGATAATTTATAAAACTTACCTTGTGTAGCGAGTTCACAATAACGATGGATCAATTGAGAAGCGACAACTCTCCTATAGTTGTGGTCATTGAAAGTTGTTAGATTCACGAGAGTTCTTATTATCTAAGTGCGGCACAAAGTTCTATTTAGAGAGCACCCATGAAGTTCGGATTTAATTCAGAAGTACGGATTTGTGATCTTGATCTGTGCCTTAAAATATTTAACAAATTCACTTTTTGTCCGGTAAAATAGTAGTGGAAATATTAGCCAATTCCTTATAAGGAAATATCCGACATTCATTGACCGAGCAGCCGATGCTGCTGATGGTTGAAATCCATAACATTGTATAGCGAAGAAAACGGCGACTTACCTCGTCAAACCAAGGGACAGTGCGTCGCGTGTATCTTACGACGGAAAAGAAAATTACTTACAAAAAAAAAAAAAAAAAAAGAAAAAGAAAAAGGGGGCACGTATTCCGCATGAAATACAGAAGACGGAATATTTAGATTAAGAAATAAGTCCGTCTCAGGAGTCTCTATAAAAGTATTTTGATATGCAAAAATTTGGCGTCCTCTCCCAGTTGTTGACGAATGAAAACAAATGTTCGGCCGATAAAAGCAGTTGGTGTTCTCGAAACGGGAGGGGAAAAATTGATGTATTTTGGCTACCACATTCGTCGGGGAGTGACTTATTTTTCTGACTGGTTACGTGCATTGGGATTTGTGAGATAGTACCTGCGAATCGAGTTTTCTTTCTGCCCCCGATATTCGAGTCTGAACATACAGTGATTTGTTCTCTGCCTTGTGGAATTAATCTCCGACAAACATCTCCTTTGCTTTCAGAACGCTTACACATTCGTTCCTTGATCGAAAAAAAAAGTTCCTAAAATCCAGTAGCTGTCATAGCTCTTTCCAGTATTTATGAGGATTTCTTTCCTCACTTTTTGGTTGAATCACTGCAGAACGTCCATGTCTTGATTAATTCAATTTTTTTTTCGAATAACATGTGTTATCCATTTTAGCGGTTACTGCTTTTGAAAGTCCTCAAATGATGTGGTTTCTGTTTTCTGGTACAGTTCTTTTTTTGTCATTCTGTAGCGCCAGTCAGACAATGTCCGAAGAAAGATGGTCTTCGTCAAGATCCACAAGTTTCAAACGCTCAAAGCCATTCTTAAGCATTGCTCTAAGGAAGCTGAGAGTTTGGATGCGTGACATGCATATGAAAGTCTCAATCTGACGAGGCTATTTAAGAACATGACTCTAGTTTTCAGGTTGATGTTTTGGTTTAGTAGCAATTGGCGGTGTTGGGCGAAACTATCTGGAGCCTATTCTATGTTCAGTTTTCTTATAGTAGGTATCCGTTTATCTCGCCAGATAGGGGCAACTCCCTGTGTGGTCAAACTTCAGTCCTTTGGTTGTGAAACAGGTGGGGACCTCTCCAGGGTGCAGGCCTGGGCGATAGTATATGGAGGCCGTGCGCTCCACAAACTACATGTCCCCGCTCTCGGCCGTGTCAGCTAGATTCATCGGTGACGGCTTTGCTGCAGGAGTTACCGAGTAGTTGTCACTGCAGACAGCCAACAGCGTTCTCGGTTCCACTATGGGGTTTACGCCCTGCTTTACTTCCATAGCCTTTTCAGTGTTTGTATATGACCGCAAGGTAGCAGCCTTTAAAATCAGATTTTTCCTTTCTTTAGGTGGATTGTCAAGCTTCATCTACAAAATCCTCATCCTATATTAAATTTATTTTAACCGAGCTACAAACATTGTTTACTATTTATTAATTACTAATTTATTATTTTTTAATTACTAATTTACTATTTACTAATTTTCTATTTAGAGTTTACTAACTTACTATTTAGTATTTAGTAATTGAATATTTACTTAATTTAAATCTCGAATTTTTCGGATGGATCGAGGGTAGGTGTCATTCAGTCAGTCAGTTATGTGCCCTGCGTGATACACGCTTAGACGATCATGTATCTTTCGATACATGACTGACGAGGCAGATTTTTTCATGCAGTAGGTTGCCATTCCTTTCTGTAGTAGACCAGTTGCCATCCAAGGCTACAGAACCCGGTCTGTCCTGCTACAGATAGATCAGACACTCAGTTATGTGCCATGCGTGATACACGCTTAGGCAATCATAGTATCTTTCGATACATGACAGAAGAGGCATATTTTTTTCTTGCAGTAGGTTGCCATTTTTTTTGCGATAGACCAGTTGCCATGCAAGGCTATAGAACCCGGTTTGTCCTGCTATTTAGAAGAGAAGAAGAGGATTCATACCTTTCCTAAGGGTATTAGGATGAATGCAATGGATTCGACAGAATTCGAACTCGGCTCTCTGATTGCTCAAATTGAACCACTATCAATTACTCCACTGTGCCTACTTAGGTATCATTATTAATTTCATTTCAATTGCAGATTATTGGAAAAGCTTATTTTCAGTCCTATTTCTTGGTACATTTGGTAGAGGATGAGGATTCTTAATACCTATGTAGTCGGCATTACCACAATTCTTATAATCAGTACATTGGCATCAATAGGAAAAGCAGGATTGCTGTCTGCTATTAGTTGATTCGTTTGGGATGTTGTATGGAATGCTTAAATGTTCAGTGACCATCTCTTTACATCGTATCGGGTCGGACTAATGGGGTACTCGGGTCGGATCGAAATAGTTCACGTGCGAATGGTCTGCTAGATAAACGCTGGAACCATAATGCTGCAGAAAATTGAAATTCTCTCTGTGGTGATATATATATATATATATATATATATATATATATATATATATATATATATACAGAGAGAAAAGGGAAAAAAGAGCTAATTTCTTGACCTCAAACGGCAATTCAGCTCAGAGAAACGTAATGAGAAGTAGATACCAGGGCAACATTGGAAGAAAAATGATCATAAAAGAAAGACCCACGCAATATATGTGCGAAAGAGAGTATGAAAATGACAGAAAGAAAGGAAGAAAGAAAGAAAGAATGAAGGAAATGCAAAAGAAAGAAAGAAAGAAAAGGGAAAGAAAGAGAGAAATAAAGAAAGAGAGAAAGAAAGGAAGAAAAAAGGAAAAAAAGAAAGAAAATGTAAAGAAAGAAAGAAGAATGAGAGAAAGAAAGAAAAACAAAGAAACAAAAATGTAACAAAGAAAAAGAAGAGAAAGAAAAGAAAAAAGAAAGAAAGAAAGAGAGAAAGAAAGAAAAAGGAATAAAGAAAGAAAGAAAGAGAGAAAAAGAAAGAAAGGGAGATAAAAAGAAAGAGAGAAAAAGAAAGAAAGAAAGAGAGAAAGAAAGAGAGAAGCAAAGTAAAAACCCGAATAAAGGAATAAAGAAAAAGAAAGGAAAAAAGGTGAAAACGAACGTGTAAATAAATACAGAATTAATGAAAAAGAAAAGAAATAAAAAAAGAAGAAAGAAAGTACTTACACTATTTACATTTTTCGAACACTTGTTCTCACTTTTTCATATTCACGACATTTCGGCCGTTGCACGCTCTGGCCTTCTTCAGACCGATACGTCGTGAATATGGCAATAAAGGTGAGGACAACAGTCCGAACGGTGTAAATAGTGTAAATAGTTACAATATCTCATCTCAGAAAAAGAGACAGATCTATAAAGAAAGGAAGAATAAATAAAGAAAGAAAACACGGAAAGAAAGGATCATAAGAAAGAAAGAAAGAAAGAAGAAAGAAAGAAAGAAAGAAAGAGAGGAATGAAGGAAAGAAAGAGAGGAAAGGAAAGGATAACCTAAACAAAGGAAGAAGAAAGAAAAAATTCTTGAGGGAAACTGTTAGAGAAAATGTGGCAAGTTGAGTGCGAAAGATAGAAAATGGAAGAGAAAAAAAAAAGCGAGTAATAAAAGCAAACAGTTATTAATAGTAAGTTAGTGAGAGGAGAAACAGATATATATATATATAGAGAGAGAGAGATGAAGAGAGCGAGAGAGCGAGGGAGAGAGGGGGTAATAGTTGTGAGATATGTTTAAAAAGAGAGGCAAGTAGACGATCAATGATTGAAAGAAATCAACAAGACAGATAAAGAAAGACAGAGAAGAAAAAATAAAATAAATTTGTGAGTGTCTGTGCGTGTAGGAGGGAGAGAGAGAATAAGACAAAGAATAATAGTGGGAGGGGAAAGAAGAAAAACGTAATGAAATAAAAAAATTCTGAGACGATTAGAAAGAGAGAGGGTCATAAGACTGAGTGATAGAAAAAAGAGAAAGAGAAGTAGATATGTCTACGAGAGAGTGACAAAACGATAATAATAATGAGAATAATAACAATAATAATAATAATAATAATAATAGAAAGATAGAGATAGAATGATATTGGTTGAAAGAGAAGAAAAAAGAAAATGGAAGAGATGTAAGGGAAAAATTGGTAATAGGATAAATGAATTAATATGTCTGCTGGCATCTCTTTTACTCTGACTTTAAATGAAGTCTCGAAAGTTCACACATTTTATCGAGTGATATTTACAGACTCGCTTTGTTATCGTCTGGCCGTAGCATTTTGGCGCCTACGAACGAACAAACTGAAAGACTCCATCAGATGATCAGAACGGATCAAATAGGCGAGACTATTACTTTATGTTATTTTAACCAAAAAAAAAAAAAAGAAAAAAGAAAAAAGAAATAATATCATTTAAAAGTAAATTATTTTTTTTTATATATTCACGTATTCATATATAGATTTCGATAATTGCTAAGACCAGCTAAATGCAGTAACAGAGTTTAGGAAGATTGTGTTGCGCAAATCTGCGAATGGGGATTACCTAGTTGTCTTAACCAGTTAACAGACCACATCCGTATTCATAGACATATAAACAAAAATACGATATGATTAGGAAAAATCAAATACATACACGAATATTAAAACTTTTCTCTTTCTCACACACTCACTTACACATACACACACGACCGCACACACACACAAGCATACACACATATATACATAAATAATATACACGGCATTTCAAAAATTTTAAGCAACCCCCAAAATTAGCATAGAGAGAGGAGTGAAAAAAAAATATGAAAAAGTCATTGAAAAAAGAATGGTATCAATTATCAAATTTTGAGAAACTTTTGCAACGAATGTCAAAAATTTGTGCTGCAGTAATTAAGGGTAAAGGTGGATGTTTAGACGAGAGCAAAATTTAATATATATACACTACAGTTCAAAAGTTTGAAGCACTTCACAGAATTAGCATGAAATGGACTTGACAAGAATGGAAAAAAATGAAAAAGAGCTCTTAGAGTCATTGAAACAGAATTAAATTAATTATCAAGCTTATACTTTGAGGAACCCTTGCAAACTAATGCTAAAATTTTGTGCTGCAGTAACCAACGTTGAAGAAGGATATTTTAACAAGAGCAAAATTTAATCGTAAAATGCTTTTATTTTTTGTCAAAATAAAATTCCTAATAAATAATCATGTCTCTCATGTAAAGTAATTTTCTCTTATTTAAAGGACAATACAAATTCTCTTTGGGCCAATTTAAAAAATGACCAGGGGTCGTCTTCGACCGTTTGAACTGCAGTGTATATATGGATAGACAGCATGAAGATTGCGTTTAAGCAGGAAACAGACTGTTGCTACACGGTGTTGACCTTCAGTGTCTACTCTTAGACTTATACACGCGCTCTCTCGGATATTCAGGACATTTAACAACAAATATAGCACATTTTAGATCTTTGATCATTATTTACATTATTCGGACTATTGTCCACATCTTTGTTGCCATATTTATCACAACGCTCCGACCTTCTTCAGGTGGTTGGAATGTCGAACTGAAGCCTTTATTTCACTCGATGGAGTAGAATGTTCTAGTTCCATGTGCCATGTCTAATGGATTTCAGTTATCTCCTGTTAATTCACCTCTCCAAGTTCTCCACTGCCTTAACCAGGTATTGAACTCACAAATCTTTGGGTCCTGTCACTGGATCTAACCAACGCCTTTATCCACTGTGCCATACGTCCTTAAGGACACATGGCACAGTGATCATTTATTTGATCATATCTATTTTCTGGCAGACTTTGGAAACACCTTCACTACGTTTATAACCTAATATGGACACACACGCACGCACACACGCACAATTCCTTCGTTTTTGAGTTATTAAGTTTAAAGTTTTTCGGTAGACGCTGTTAACTGTACAATCGGTCTTAATCTATCCATAGTTTGTGTGTGCCACGAATCCTGTTTAGGCAATGCGACGATAAACAGCAGCAAAGGTTGGCTGACACGACAGCTTTCGATCTAGAAACGCAATCAGATACAGCCGTGCAGCCTCGCGTCCATTACTATTCGTGCGGACGTATGTAAAAAATCATATCTGTCTTCTCACGATATGAATATCTTGCCATTGTTAAACGGAACACTTCTCATATAACTCACTACTACACACGTTTAAGGTTGAAAACAGACTAGCCACAAATGTATACGAATGACAAATGTAAACTTGTCTACATGACAACACTGCGTCATAAACCATAAACTTTTTTTTAAAATTAATAACTCAAAAACGGAGGATTTGCAGACATATGATTATAGGGGACTTTTGTCCTTGTTTTGGTGTTAGGAACCAGTCCCCGAAGTCTGTAAAAGTATTTTTGATACACCTTGTATATGTACCTAAAACATAAAGAGTTTTGCAAAAAGAAAATATAAAAAATGCCAGAACAGGGTAATTCTGGAAGATAACGTTTGTAAAGTAATCCGCCTTTATAAATAGACAGGCGTATATAAAAAATGAAGCATAAATAGTAACAAGTAAAATAATATTTTTTATTTTTAAAAAGATATTCCTTTTATCGTCATTTAAACTTTTCTTCAAATAAATCCATTTTTGCTACTATATATATGTGTGTGTGTCTTTGTGTGTGTTTGTGCGTGTGTGTGTGTTTTCAGATAAAGTTAATGCACGTAATTAACTAATGAAAAATCAAGCAAACCAAAAGTAAAAAATACCAGGATATCATTCTTCATTTTCTTCTTATGTGATGAAGCTTTTTATATGTCAGATTGTTAAAGATTCCGTCCGTTCTTTATCTCATTATATATATATATATATATATATATATATATATATATATATATATATATATATATATATATATATAAATATAAAACATCTCAGTTAACTCACTACATACTACAGACGTTAAAGGTTGAAAACAGACTAGCCACAAATGTACACGAATGAAAAATGTATATATATATATATATATATATATATAATTATTATTTATAAAAAAATTATAACATAAATATGTTATAAAATCACTACAAAAATAGCCATTTTGTTTCAACACACTCGGTGTCTTATCAAGTGATGATGTTGAAGATAAAATAAATGGTTTTAAAAGTTTCAGATTAATTAACGATCCTACACTAGGGGGAAACATTGTTTCAGAAGCTAGAATAACCAATCAAAAACCAAGTATAGAAAGATTCAAAAGCTTGACAACGAAATCATGTTATAATAGCTATTCAGATCTTTAAAATACGTGTAATATTAAACATAGTTTATACTAACCAATAATTATAAAATTATATGATAAAATTTAATATTAAAATTAAAAACTGGCAATTTTAAAATCCAACTTTAATCACTATTAAGTTTAAAAACTACAAAATTATTGAGAAAAGAAAAAATATATATGTTTATTCAATTCATTTCTTCATTGAAATTACGTTCGACAAGACGATACAATATATCCGGTCATTTGACAATACATGTATATATATTTTTTATTTTAAAGTGTGTGAATGTGGTCTTAAACTCACGCGCAAAACAACAAAAACACAATCAGATTATAATACATAAGCACCCAGACATATATATATATATATATATATATATATATACACACAAAAAAAAGGCGACGAGACAGGAACATCACTACAACCCTTTATGAAAAAAGGAAACGGGGAAACCAACACCTATACACACACACAGTTAAATGTGAATACACTCTACATACACATAGATACCGATAGATACACGTACACACATCCACAGATAATGACATAGACAATCAGACACCACAACCAATAAATATTTAAGACTTAAAGTATCATTGAATAAATGCTAACCACTTATTAAATTATAACTTAAGGCAGCAAATATACAAAGATAAAAATGGTTAAAAATAATATTATTTAATATATTAAAACGAAAATTCCAAAACCATAAATATCAAAAAAAATATATTTTAATCATATAAGTTGATAATAGTTTCATTATATATTAGGCAAAAGAAAAACAGGATAAAGAAACCCACAGATACATATATATATACATACGGCAGCAAACACAAATTAACACACATAAACATACATCATACATACATATACATACAGAAATACATACAAATAAATATATAAACATAAACATATACGCACATATACATATCTATGATAACAAGTACACATGCACACACATATACATATAAACATAAATACACACATATATACATTTTTATGCACAAATACTCACATATATAAAAACAGTCATGACATACCAAAGTTTCCATACCCACACATACACACAAACTCATACATAATAGGTGCAAACACACACATATACATCCCCAAACATACATAAATATATACACACACACATACATACATATATACAAATAAACATATATATAAATATATCTATCTACAATAACAACTACCAATATATACACGCATACATAAAAATACAACAACACTCAACCAAATACATATATAAACGTACTAACATATACATACATAAATATACATTCAAATACCAACACACACCAATATACATATACCCTAACATACAAATATATAAACACATTCATACAAACAGAAATATACTTAAATATAAATATACATACACAATAAAATAGGACACATACAGATATATACATATACACACACACACACACACACACACACACACACACATATATATATATATATATATATATATACACATACATACACACATACACACACACATACATACATATATATACAAATATATCGTGGCACAAAGCCGAAATTAGGGGGCACCCAGTGAGGAACGAACTCACTACGCAGTCGCAATTGATCTAGCGAACCATGCTTGCCAACCATTATACCGCCCATGAGGTGCTCATACATACATATACATATTTATATATATACACATACACACACATACATACATATACACACATACACACATACATACATATATATACACACATATATACATATATATACATATATTTACATATATACATATATATATATATACATATACACACATACACACATATACACATATACATATATACACACACACATACACACATACATATATAGGCACACACATACACATATACATGAACAATTATTAACCTTTTTCTCTCCTAATCTACCATACCTTAAGGATTA